AATTGCAATTTTAAAAGATGCAATTTGCAATGATATATGATAACAATTGAAATTTTCCAATTCTTGCCACAGCTAAATTTTATAACCTACACATACAACTAACCCTTGAAACTCTATAAATGTTTAGTTAAAGCAAATAAAAAAATAATTCAGTTCCCGTCAGGATTATACCAAATAAAAAATCACTACCATCAGTTTTTAAAATTAATAAAATGCAAGCATCGAAATTATATCAGCAGTTTCTGCACTGTATTTTCCAGGGTCCAAACAATAAAGTTTCGATGAAGCGCCTCGATGTTGGATGTTGTAATTTCCTTTTATCGATAGAAAAGTGTTCGACAGAATTATTCCGCCATGCGTGTTCGGCAACGTATCTAAATTATTTGAAACTTTACGAGTTTTTGGCGGACCGACGGCTTCTGGGGGGCTTGATGAAGCGAGGGAGAAAATTAAAAGCAATAAATGAAGTCAAGTACGGAACACATTTTGCGGTGAAGAAAAAACTCCCAGAACCATACCATGGTACCATAAAAAAGATTTGCAAACAAGCCCTAACCGACTAAAATAATTCTTTCGCAGGCCATATAAGGGACGTAAGCGCTCAGGTGGCGGAAATTAAGGGAAAAGAACTATTGTTAAAGTTAATGTTAGGATAGTTAATGAGCGAAATTAAAACATTGTTTTTCTCTTCTACATATTACTTTAGGAACTTAGCAATTTGTGGAGAGTAGTTAAGGAAGTCGAATTACCATATCAGCAAATTAATTAGATTTCAGACGAAAATGAAGGTATTAAATGCATTTGGCGTCTTCTAATAAAGATTCATGCTGTTATGATAAATGGATTTTGAGCAAAATATTTCCATTTGACATGAAAATGTCATTCTCTGAAAGTCATTTATTAACCAAGTATTTGTATTGTATCACTCACAAAGTATTTTCACGTTTATATTACTTATTTTCAATGTACGCTTATTAAATCGATTTAATGTTGATCATCAATCTTCGATTACTGTCTTTTCGCGTTCAACAATATACAGTAATACATACAACAATATACAGTAATAATATACTGTATATTGTTGTAATACAACAATATACTGTATACTGTAATATACTGTAATACAACAATATACAGTAATAATATACTGTATACATAATACAGCTGTCGGAAATTTGTTAGGGAGTAATCGCCCAGACATGATATTAGAGTATCGTAAGGCAATAATGATTAATAAGTCAGCTACACCGCAGCACGGTTCCCCTGAGACAAATTAGCAGATGCGCATACAATTACGTGAATTATTCCCCTAGGGAAGAGAGTCACTATACGTAGCCTTACTGTAACATCCTAACTTCTGACGATGTCGAAAATGCGCAAAGGATCTCGTAAATTAGAATGAATAAACTAGGAGAAAATATAATAATAAAGAATAAGCGATATACTAAGCCACGAGTGAGCAAGATCGAATTGTTATAAACTCACATTATATATTATCATCGAAGTTCAAGTAAATTTTACTCTCACAGATGCAAATTAATTGGGACAAATAATGAAATGGGTATAAAAAAAAGGAGTGCTTAACGATAAATAATAAAAATGTAGGCTTGCATTATATAAACGAAGCATCGTTGATAGAAAAAAGAGAGCGCATTTTCTCGTCGCATTTGACAGAGAGCGCATTTTCTCGTCGACGAAAACTTGAGGTCACGGACGGACGGACAGACAGACGGACATGGCGAGCACAATAGTGCATTTTTTCCATAAATGAGAAAATGTGCTAAAAAGAGCATTAAATAATTATCTATAAGTTAACTCGATGTGAATTTGTTCTTTAAATAACTTCTTTGACGTGAGCAAAATAAAATTAAACATGGTTGCAAGGTTACCTTATTACTCATAAATTCTCTTCAAAATTTTCATTTCCATTTAAGTCTTATCTGGCTAATATTTTCATGTACATGATTTTGCGATAGCGCATTTAATGCTGATGAAATCAAATGTACCTCATTTTTACCGCTGTCGTGGAGCTCGTGCTACCTCATTTTCTGCATGGCTACCACACTACCACCACTTAGTCGAGCTCTGACTTACCACTGCATAAGTCAAAGCTGGATTAATTGGTGAACGTAATCGAAAATATAAATTTTAAAGCTGGAAGAAGATCATCAAAATCCTAACTTGCAATAACTTTTACTTAATAATTTGACTTTTAACCCGAGGATATATACAGAAATGATAAGATAATATCAGATTCATCACAATTAGAATACTTCAATTAAATTGCCATATGGTATTACAAAAGCATAAAAATAACATCCTACAACCCGAGTTGAAAATCTTAATGGCAATTGTACATGTACAACAAGGTTTGCAATTAGTTTAAAAGAGTTTCAGAAATTACTCAAATAGAACAATAATGAATTATTTATATGGAAAATTTTTTTACTCTGCTTTTAAGGTGCGAAAATACAATTTTTGAACGTTTATGATGTTTATATCTGCTGAGAGCCAATGTAATTAGCATATTAATAAAATTTTCATTCATGATTTGTTTAAAATTAATGAGACTTATGTTCAGATTTCGACTCGAATCAGAAGTCAGAATGATTTTGTTCCTTTCTTTGAATTGAATTAGGTTGAACATGCAGTTTTTTTTTCAACAATGACCAGGCAATGCTGCATCAATTATGAATGCATTGTCATGTACTGCGTTTCTATAAGATTTTATTATACTTGTTTAACAGAAATTAATCATAAAGAACTTTATTCGCATTCCGAATCTGTCAAATTTTTTCCTATTCCTGCTTTCTTTCTCCTGTCCGTAATAAGGTAAAAATTTTGTCCTTAGATGAAAATTACCTCTAGTACCTTGCCATTCCAATAAATGTAATGTTTACATATAAACAAATTACATTTCAATAAGGCGAACGTTTCTGTACCTACAATGCCACATGAATACGCAAAGTACTCTTATAATCAGGTTTGATTTGAAGATTGGGGTTGGCTTCATGCACTCAGATGTCAGTTATTTATGTTTTTTTGTGCGTACGAAATTATTGCTACGAGAAGAAGAACTTAGAGCTGGTCTTTATTGAAGATTTCAAATTAGTTGACTCCTGACCTCTGAAGCGCGACCCTAGCGACCATAGTGAACATCACGAAATTGAGGACAATTATTCCTGCCGTAAAGAATTTACTGTTCTTTCAGCGTTTTATTACAACGGGTTTAGTAAAAGAGATGTAATGGATTTGTAAAACTCATTAATTTGATTTTGTACGCAATATCACAGCGAGCCAATGCACTACAAATTTTCAGCCATTGAGCAATGTTTGCTATTTTTCATCTATTAATGATAAAATTTCGCAGCATATTATTCTTCCAAACGAAATAAAAAGATCCAATTTATAAATGAGACAGATGGCATATTTTCATGAGACAGATGTCATATTTTCATCAATATTTATCAGCGGTATCTACTAACTTATGTTCGTAAACGCGTAACATTTTATTAAATCCTTAAGTAATGAACTTCGTCCCTGGAAATTCTCAAGAAGGCTTATCTGGCGAGCCTAGCCGCCGATATGCAAATTTGATTCATCACTGTTCCATCAGATGACGTCATGCGGTTAGTTGAAATGTGAGATCATGGGCTGCAGGTATCCAGCGTGGCATGAACCTGAACTAGTTGATGAATGAACGTGTCATTAAAATGAATGTCATATTATATGATGAATGAACGTGTCATTAAAATGAATGTCATATTGTTTGATGAATGAACGTGTCATTAAAATGAATGTCCCATTGTATGATGAATGAACGTGTCATTAAAATGAATGTCACGTCGTGTGATGAATGGACGTGTCATTAAAATGAATATCCCATTGTGAGATGAATAATCGATGCCACAGAACTGCATGCCGCATTATCTGATGAGTAACTTGTTACAAAACTACATCCCAAACAATTCATATGAGTTCCTGTTAGTAAATTACACAGGAAATCATCATGTAATGTTTGAGTTTTCATAAAGTCGTTTGAACTGAAGTATCTTGACCGGCTAATAATTGGGCAGAACCGTCAACGAAACAATAGCAGTCGCTTGCTTTACACACCGTCGCGATAGAGGCTAAGGACCATCTCGTATTGCTGCATTGTTAACTTCCATCCTGATAGCTAAAAAATATAACTCGGTACTCACTGCAGTGAGTGACAGAGAGCGCATTTTCTCGTCAACGAAAACGTGAAGTCACGGACAGACAGACGGACATGACGAGCACAATAGTGCCTTTTTCCATAAATGAGAAAATGCGCTAAAAATGGAAGCCATTTGGAACTTTCAAATGAGTTTCCCAAAGGCCAAATTTGACGCAATATCGCTCAATGTAAATATTTGACAAGCCGAAATTGATTCAATATCGCCATCGAGTTTTACCTGTCACTTTTCGAAAAATTAGAGCGATGACAACTCGCATTCATCTAGCCGGTAGGAAAGAATTCACGGCTGTGCATGAGTATCTCTTCCAAATCTCAAACATAGAAAATCTATCGTGGTTCGATGTTTGTTTGAAAACACTTTTTATGGCAAAATAAATATTAGACAAATTAATTATAAGTCAGAATGACAAGGCTTTTTCCTTATTAAAAAATTAAAAAAGCAGCCGGCCACTCACAAGAAAAAGTTTCATGCGACAAATTTCAAGTGAAAGGAGCAAATTTCTTTCTCTCGCTCTGTATGAATTGACCAGAAAACTTTGAGAGAAAAGTGCCCAAGATGGGCAAAAGTTATCTTGATTGTTAAAATTATGAAGTGCCTCTCTGACTTTTCTTTCGAGATAACAACGAAGTCCGGAAATATTCTGAAAGAGTCACGATGGTCAATTATTATCAATTTTTCGATTTTATCAAGAATTAAAAAATAAAGTCGTTTATATGGACCAAATGAGGAATGAATCGCTAACTAAACATGATTGTAAACGAGAATTTCTTTTTTTTTCAGGTTGAAATGCCCACATCCATCATGGTAACTGCCACCGAAGCTCCCGGAGTATTCCAGTTTTTGATATTATCGAATCTTTTGCCAGGTAAGGCAACTAAGATCTCATTTTGGTGCCACAGGATGAGTGCTGGATGACAAATTGAACTATGAGCATTAAATGAAAACCTCTAAATTTTATATAAAATGTTAAGGGCACTTAAAAAATGAAGAATGTTTTTCGATTGGTTGCCTGGCTTTTATTTTTTGCAGATGGAGGCGTAAAAGCTTGAATCAAATTTTATGCATAATTTCAATTATTATATATATGTATAATATCAACCAAGGAGAAACTAATAATAACTTTATGTGATAAACTTGTCATAATATCCTGTATGAAGATGTTGGTTGATTAGGCGTAAACGTTGCAATTATCCGAATAGCGTATAATTAATTTTCATAATTCGTGTAGTGTATTTTTATATTGACAATATTTTTTGAATTATTAATGACATAGTTAAATTTTTGTACTTGCAGCGTTGGTGGAAGCGACCTTATCCTTTCAAACTTCCCTGCCCATCATGGAGGTTCCTTCCAGAGCTTACGATCAAATGCTCTTCCGAAAAGCCTTCAATTATCCTCCAGTTCCATCCGATACAAATAACCTCATGCCCAACATGTCCGATCCTCCAATACACATACCAGAGACAAATTCCGAGATTAAAACTAGTACAGGATCAAATCCTAGAGATCCTCACCGATTTCAAATTCCGGTCGAAATAGACGACAGAAATCGGTATGGAATTTCTCCCAATGCGAATGGAGGCCATCGGTTCATAGGAATTCAATCTCAGGTAGAACATCCAAATCTAGTTGAATTTACCTCTAAAACAGATTCAATGAATCGTTTTGGAATCTCCGTGACGAATATGTCTCAGTCAAGTGAGAAAAAAATAGACATACTTGTAAATATTAACAACCCAAGTCAGAGCAAGAGGACTCTTCCTCCGAGTTTAGTAGGGTTCGTTGAAAGTAAAGTAGACGAGAACTACGACCCTCACCGCTACCACAAGGACAGGGGGTTTCCGCCACAACCAAGTCTCGGCGTCAACAATGAAACGGCAGAGACATTTTTAGGCGAGACGGCAGCCATCGACTGTACTTTGCATAATCCCGGAGAGTACTCGGTGAGTTGAATGGGCCCAAAGGGGCCGCTGGTGCAGCGAATTCTTTTCTCTAGATGCATTTCTAGTTCCTATTACCTGTTATTGTTATCACAAACAATGTATTTCTTGATTTACAATAAATAAATTCTTTTGATTATATTTTGAGTCCCAATAAACCGCTGAAGTATCCTTGAATGAGAAATGGTATAATTATTGCATTCAAAAGCATAAGTATTGCTGTTTTGCAATGTTGCACGGCATGGTGAATATAAACATAATGAATAAAATGGTGAATATAAACCCAGGCTTCGGAGGAAATGTGACTCATTTTAAAGAGCGGAACTGACGTGCAATAATTTCATTAAAATATAATTGAGCAAATTTATGTCGACGTTAATCATTATTTTAACTGCTGCTGAATTAATTCCTTAAGCCTAAATAGCAATATCACATCTGACAAATTTAAATTTCGCTCAGTTTTTTCAAGAAGTCTAAAACGCATCCTTCATTATTTTTTTGCTCACATGAGTCTGAAGTTTGAGAGAGCTCTGAATTGAGCTAGCAAAAACGCTTTAAACCCGGAATTTTCTTCGCCCTGTTTGTTATTCAGCTTGTAATTCCAATTGCTGGAACATTTTGAGCGAGTAAATACAGAGTCTGTGTTACTTTGCCTTCCTAACTCAGTGTGCTGCAATCGTAGTATTTTATTTTCGGCTTAAATACTGAAAAACGTTAACCATTGCTAATTTTATTCACATCTTAATTAAAAGCTCGTATTTGCGGTCCGGTTATCGATAAACCTCTCCCTTGCTGGCGTTTATAAACTTCATAAGCTTCTAAAGCATCGCAGATCTCTTTCTCGAGACAAGTTCTTGCCAAGGTGTTTATTCTGTTAAGATGAAGAAAAGTTTTATCTATCTTTTACTTTCGTTCTTGGAATTTTTTAGCCGGAAATTTATTTGATCGTGAAGGCTCTTAATATTACCGTGTTTGTTATACGTGAAAAATCGAAATAATAATTTGGAAATTTTTAGAGTTATTTTTGTTGGATATTTTAATTGTTTGGTCTGCGTTGGGGATTCGTTATTTGCAAATTCACTTCCGATATTGGCTTTAAAAATGTTCTTCCTGACAAGAAATTCGATACAAAATCGAAGCGAGCGGATTCTCATCCCAATACTTTTCTTTTGTGGCTTTTCTAGACGGACAGCATGCGTTAGTATAGCTACATTCTGCCACTGCACTGAATACCAAGACAATTTTTATAGCCAAAAAAGAAATCCAAACTCCGGGCCTTGTGAGAATAAATTTCCAATTTTGGTTTCAGAATTTTATTTCTATTGGAGCATTTAAACCTATTTCTTTACATTTATAATTGAGCATTCGTAACTTATCTTCAATAACTAATTCATTTATTTAATATTTTAATACACTCAGGTTCGCTGCATCTACCAACTTCAATACCAATTTTATAATCTTGGGCTTTATTAAACACTATTGCAGTTGCACGTTGTAAATCTCGTGATAATTTCATATATAATGAATTACAGTTTATTTCGAATGTGGAACTTGAACACATTTTCCATGTGGAAATTTCATGGCAATTTTCGGCATAGGCCTAGCTCCCGATTGTGAAACATTCCAGATATGAATAGATCTACCATTTTTTCGAGCTTTTTTTTGTAATAACAATCAAATTATTTACAAATAAGATCAATAGAAGTCTGATTTGAATGTAGCAGTGAAGCACTTATTTTTCTGCTATAACTATGATTAATTTCATAAAAATTCTATACATTTGCGGTTTCAAATATCTATTATGCATTACGTAGTTCAACATGGAATGCAAGGTATATAAAGCACAATACGTGTGAAATCTTTTTCAATAATTTCTTAAATAAATAATAGCGCACCAAAAGTAAACTTCCATGCATAATTCTCATTTTATTTAAATTGTAAGTGTTGATATGATGTATGCATTTGATCGTTTCTATAGGTGTCTTGGATGCGTCAAGTGGGCGATGTGTTGGAGCTGATCACATACGGCGACCAAACATATGCCAACGATGACAGGTACGATATACAACCTGTCTTATTGAGCTGTAATATTGCAAGACTTATCAAATGTTCCAACCTCTCATTTATTCCCAACCTCACTATGCAATTTGATATGTCACGCTTCAAATTCAGAATTTAATTTGTGACATTTAACCATTTAACTTATATCTTACCCGTCGTATATGTTCGATAATTTCGTGACAAGTCAAAATAAAATATCGAGTTCTAGGAAATAGACGCAGGCGATCAAAGTCTGTGCTGAAATTACTATCGTAATTGAGAAAGTAACTGAAATTATTTGTTGCTCTCAGACGTATAAAAATAAAGTCAGAATTTAAGGAACTGGACTCATCCAATACTTTCAAAAAACGCATAGAAGTGAAATGAAGTCATTACAAAAGCGATCCACGTGGAAAAGTTGACAGTATAAATTTAATGACCGTGTAATCATGTAAGGTTGTACTTCGTGAAATTAAGAAAAATACTGAAACTGTTTGGAAGTTGCTTCCAAAAATACCGTCAATATTTTCGTATTAGGTTCAATACTTCTCAAATCACAATCAAATGAGAACCTGAAAATATACATTTTATTGGCGTTCCTGAGCACAACCTGACATAGAATTGTAGGTTAAATAGTTAAATTTTAAATGAAAAGCAAATGAGGACAATGGATTTAACTTTTTTGCGGGAAATCACAGATACTGTATATGCAGAAATTAAAGTTTCTGAAACCTGCACAAGAAAATACGAGCCAATACAAGGTACATTTACTCGAATGTACTTATAAAAATTTTGCATATTGGAATAGTACATTGAACTTCAAAAATTTGTTAAATACGGTCAATACGCAATATTTCTTTCATATAACTCAAATGTAAGCATACAAATATAAAGACCAACAATCTAAGATTCAATTTAATTCAAATCAGTCATGTTTCCTTAAATAAATAATTTAATATGTATATATTGCTACTACCGACTTTAAAAAAATGCGGAAAGAGCGTCTATTTAATTTTACGAGTTAAAACTTTCATCCAAATATTTAAATATTTAAATTTAAATTTAAATATTTAAATTTTTGGATATAGTAGGGAGTGATGCTATGCACGGAAAAATTCTTAGATGATTGGAGATTATGATAGGCATGCTAACGCAGCCTCAAGCACAAATCGGAGGCAGGAGTCAGCCTTTTTGGTAGGATATTTGAAGTGAACCTGTATAGTAACTTTGGTAACTTAGGCTCAAACGGTAAAAAACAAAAAATATGGCACAAAAATTCATCTCATCTTTATAATGTAAAAAATACTCATTTCTACAAAGGAGTCCAGATCCATCCATTTTTCAGCGATCTTCTTTGTTTTTGAACTCCTTGAAAATTTGTGATCAAAGCAATCAGGTGATCTTAATTTTTGAATAGTGATAACATCTACGCTGGGCCTTCAGTAAGATTTCTTTTGCCTAGATTGTCTATGGCATTCATCCGTACTTCCTAATTGCAATTTCCCTCTATATTTATCGATCTGAAATTTGGCACACTTGCGTAAAGTTGGAGACAATGCATGAATCAAATGATAAAATAAATGATTTTAAAAATTATTTTTTTTTCAATGTTAAAAAATTTGAAAAAGCAATTTTGTCAGCTACAAATCTTATAACTGATATTTGACACACTTTTACATGTCCAATTGATCTGAAATTTTGCACACTTGTGTGAAGTCGGAAGCAATGCATGAATCAATTGACAGAATAAATAATTTTGAAACAAATTTTACATATTAAATAAATTGAAAAATTAATTTTGTTAATATTCTAAAATAAAAGGAGAAATTCATTGTAGATCTGTAAAATTGGAGACACTGGATTCTTTAGAAGTGTTGTCTTTAAAAAGTTATTTTTAACCGTATATTATTCTTTTTAGCCCAGAGTTCTTGAGTCCCAGCTGTTACTCAGAAGCCGGTTGATTTGGTTGACTATCGATGGCAGGGGGTTTTAGACGGTTTTGACGGTTTCGATCAATTGAAGAATAAAGCGCGTTGAAGGAAAGCGTGAAAATTTTTAACGAAGATAGCTTTGCAGTCTACGTCAGTATAATTATAATATCGTCTGCGCTACCAGCCATGCGGCCGATGGTATAGCAGGTATGACTTTTGCAGGAAAAAGAGGTATCAACTAGAATAGCTTGTTGCTTTGTTTTCATTTCACGCCTCACGAGGAACCCCAAAAATCTAATTTAACCGCAAATCACAATTTGAACTTTACTACATCATCTGAGGCAGGCGAATATTTTCCGTGCATAACTTTAGGCCGGAAATAAATTATTGGCATGCAAAATTATCTTCGCTTGTGTCCGGTGTCAATCTGCTCATTATATTCATTATAATTATGTTATAAGATTAGATAATCTGTAATAGAGATGTAATATTCACTTGACGTGATAAAGATTGATGGAAAAGTACTAGACCTTAGTCAGCGTCTGGACAACATCACGTGATAGATCACGCGATCAAGACCTCAGTATTGGGCGGAAGCAGTGATTCTATAAAAAAGCTGGGAACCTTAGTAAGGCCCCCGCAGAAGCTAACATGTACGCACGCCGTAATGTTACTAGCGTTAGAACTACTCCGACCTAAGGGTCGACGTCTTAGCCTTTTACCTGCTTTATATCTCTCGTGTATTACCATCCCGTATCAAAATAAGTTCTCTAGACAGATGGTCTCTTACTTATTCCGCACGAGCTTAGTCACGTATTCCGGTCCTCAGGTTGCGCTTAATATAGTGGCCTGACACATGCATTCTAATCCTGTTCACGAATATTACCATTGCACACGTTCTTTTAACCCTAAATCCTTATGTTCACATCTTTATGCCCTATATTCAAATGTAAGACACGTCCCCTAAAACTTTATAATTGTAATATTTACATAAAGTACTGTAAATTAGCTTAACTCGTCCGCAACGATCATTCTATTAAGTCTGTCACTTGCCAGCAGACACCCCTATAGAAGCATCTCCTCGTTTCAGCTACACTTTAATTAGATGAATTAGACTGAAGATATTCAATGCTGAGCTAAACGAGATAAATGTCTAACATATTGACCCCATAATGGAAGGTATGCTGAGAAACCTAGAAGAAAAATCGAATCCTAAGATCCCAAGACAGTTTCAAGCTAAACCGGCATACTTATAAAGAAAAATGCTCGAATGAAGTGCTGCTCCAAATATGTACTGATTTGGAACTGCGTGACGCAATTGTCCATGACGAAAATTTTTAAATCATTTTCAAGCTACAACTTCTCAGATTCCAGTATGATCACGACAAAGCTGATTTAGTCACTGTCTGAGACGAAATACAACGAATATGAACTTGATGAACCTACCCTGCTTAGGAAGATACTAACAGATAGCACACGTAGTTTAAATTATCCTAATTAACGAATGTTGTCCGCGGAATTCCACTATTAGCAAAAGTTTAATCTGCTTAAACAGGATGAAAATCAATACATACTATTATATATTCGTTAAGTTTATCAATGCTATCAATAGAAAAATTGCTGATGTCTAGTAGAATGTCCTGCAAACGCAGAAAACCTTAACCTATCCAAAATTAAAAAAATAGGTTTTACTTAGAACGAATATGTTGCAGAGCTCAATAAAAATATAATATTCTGAAATCAAAATTCCGATATTATTTAGATGATATTGCTACTAAAATATGTTGGAAGCATTCAAATTTAAGCATTTGTGCTTAAATTTGAAGATGCTCTCGCAGAGCACAGAGCACATCTCTCCGCAGATGCTCTCGTCTCCCAGACGGTGTGATATCTAAATAGTACAATTAATAAGCTTATTCGACCACCGTTTATGTTATTAGTAGACACAATTGTACTAATTTTAGCGTATGTACAACACTTGCGTTCCCAAGAACATTTCATTTTGTTACAGCTCAACTTGGAAACGCTCTTCGTACCACAACAAGTACGTCAGGATGCATTTGATTATACGCACGTCGTCAATGAAGCGCTTGACGTACGACGTTAACTTCAGCGTATCGTGAAACCGACTTTTCATCCCATTGAAATGTTGATTCTTTATATCCTCATGATGTTTGGTCCTCATCTCATGCATTATTCCTAACGCATTATTACATTCCGTGGTCGTTTTGAATGTTTCATAAATATTTTTTATTTGCATCAATGCCCATTCGATGTGACTTCAGGCTTCTCTCAATTGCAATTCGCCAACCTTGGGGAACTGAAATGTTGGCTCAAATCAGGGAAGTTTATAAATTGTGTTTCATACAGCTTTTCTTAAATTGCGCTTAAAGATACCGTTTGAAATTTATTCATCGTTAGCTTAACTAAAGTGCTGCGCTTTTGGTAGCCTGGATTAAAAAATTTAATGAATGTTTTTTTTAATTATCGACGATTTAATCAAGTAAATTCTATGACAAGAAGATGGTTTGCCAGTTGGAAGTAATCAGTGCTAAAATAATTATTTTGTAACATAGAATGTCATAAAGCGTTTCAAACCAGCAGCGAAATTTTCATCAATACGCGAATAATCTATTTGTGTGTCCACTAGTCACAAATACGAACTAACACGTTACATATGTTGCATAGACCAGGTTTTGCAAAACCTTTTCATTTCATCGATAAAATTGTAAATTGTTCACGCCTTGGATACAAACCTCGTTTTTCCGCACAAGAGATAATCATCTCTAACGATGCCCCCCCTTGGCCCTGGCTGTCGGATAGACAGCGGGGTAACTAAAGGGGTGCGCCCCCCCCCCTGCTGTGTGCGATACTGCGAGGTTTTCTGCGTTCATTCTTCGTTTGAGTTCTCTAAAGATTAAGAGGATTGTGTTACTTATCTTAAAGACGACTGATTACGCTACGTTCTCTTAGGTCATTGTTCCGTAAAAATTGAGGCGCATTCCTGAGGAGCCGATGTTTGGAGTTCTGTGTTTTTTTGACTGAATTTATGCGATGTTCCAGAATGAAAGCAGAGATACAGGAAAAACATTGTTTTTATGTAGAAATATACGCAGAAATTTGAGACAAACGAAATTTTATTCATAATTTCTCTAGAAAAGGAGTTTGAAGTCAACATTTCAAGACAGTATTCCAGTTATTCAGTGAGAAACCAGTGATGTGATCTATATTAAGCGAGTTACAAAACTTTTCCCTTATGAAGTATCTCATTTTTCATACCGAGCAACGTCAAGATATTAATTATGACTTAATTATTTATTTCATTTTAGAGAAACGTTCATAATATTAATTACGATGTTCCCTACATTCACAGGTACTATCCAGGCGTAACATCCCACTGTGAACATATTGCCAAACTGAACTCTATATGTATAATAACACACTGATGTATAGTTAAACATATAAATAGGTGAATAAGTTAGAGAACATCTATGGCGCTGGAGGCTGGCCAGAGCTCTGCAATACTCCTGAGTGGCATAAAGAAGACCCTGCCCTTGTAGAGAACGAGTTTTTTAATTAAAACTCAGTTTTTTTATCCCCTAACGTCTGCTGAGAACCTCCATGACCAGACAAACAACAGAGCTTTGAACTCACCGTAAGTGTGATACGTACGCTGCCTTATGCTGATGATCGATGTTCCGTGCCGCTGCAGTCAGTATTTGGTAACAAACAACGAAGCATTCAAGTTTCAACATTCTGTTAACTCATCATTCAGATGAATGCATTAGAATGATCTTCAGAACAATTACCGAATGTATGAACTGTTGATTCGGAACATTCACTAGGCATACAAAATGTATTAGATGATATACAATATAGGTAGTAGCCGACTTTTAGTTGACATGCAAGATGCATTAGATAAAATATATGCGAGTATTTGTTACCTGGCTTACAATATGCTTTAAATGATAAGAAAATTATCAGTTGGCATACAATATGTATCAACTGAGGTAGAATATGTTTTAGCTGAGGTAGCATATGTATTAGCTGACGTATAAAATGTATAAGCTGTCGTACAATATGTATTAGATGTTGTAAAATTTATTTTAGATCACGTATAGTATGTAACAGCTGACGCACAATATCATTAGTAAACACATAACATGTATTAGCTGACGCACAATATGTACTAGCTGATGTAAAATATGTACTAGCTGACGTACAACATGCATTGGCTAGCGTACATTATTTATTAGCTTAAGCAGAATATGCATACTTGCTGACCACCGTAAATAGAAGTCGAGCTCATAACGATATGCATCAACCGTGAGCATTACGCAAGCAACTTGCATACAAACATTAGCAAACAATGCATTGTTAAGATCGTCTGCTACTCCAACTTGGGACATTTGATTTAAAGGCAACGCAGACGGAAAATAAATTGGCCCCTTATCCTTTTCACTAATTGGTTTTCATTTTCGACGATTGTTTTTTTAAGCAGAGATTTTATTATGCATACCGATCGAGTGTTCTTTATACGGAAGGAAGAGACACTTACTTTTTACTTATTCAATTTAATTCAACAAAGATAAATGCAGCGTTAAACAGATCAGTTGTGAATCTTCACAAAGCAAGATGAATCAATGACAACCATAAGAATGCGTGATGTTTAAATATATAATTCTATAATGCAAACTAACTTCATGAATCGCGTGACGTCAAATCAAAGGATATAAACGACGTTCATGAATCGGCCAGTTATGTTTAGGATACTCTTGACCTAGAATGGAAGTTGCGTTGCACAACTCAGGTTGTGCAACGAAGTATTTCCGCGAACACGTACGGCGACCACGCGACGTCTGCAACACCGGACGACAGGCGTCTGTCTGCACCACGCCCTCTGTGCCCAATCTTATCGCACCGCGCCAAAATTGTCCATAGTTTCACCGGGCGATACTAGTGTTCCGCGAATTAATATAGTCGATTAACTATTTAACCCTTAAATTTGGTTTTTTAATTTTTCTGATGCTTATGTTAGTTGTCTAAATTAATTCTATTTATTTTCGTCAGTCTCTCATATTGAAATATTGTACTGAGACTCTGGCAATTAGTGGCATAACGTTGTACCTTTAATTTCGAATAGATATTAGATTTAATGAAAAAATAAAAAAAAACACCATTAAATTTTAACCTTAATTTAGCTTCTTATAATGGACAGGAAGTTCAGTAAAAACCTCCAAGACATGCCACGTCCTCTCAACCTGTTTGGCTTGTCTATGTGAGAGAGCGATGGCCGGAGTCAGCGAGCGTCCTCGTTTTGCGGACGATGTCTTGTACAAGAACGTTCACCTACGGTGCGTTGATGGACGAAGACCAGTTTTTAAAATCAAGACTGAAACTATTAATTGAGATGCTGGAAATTCAAGGCCAATCGATGAAAAAAGTCATACTGACGATCTTAATAGTTAAACCATAATTAGCAATCGCTCAAGTTCTCTATATTGTTAAAACTTAAGGCGATGGCGACGACGACATTTGACGTCAGCTCCTAAACTTCACGCTTTCCTTCCGGCAAATCACAACCTTGACAGTTACGCAAGCGACACGCGTACGTCATTCATGACTTGTTAGCATCAACGCTTGCTTTGCAATCACCCACGCACATCAAGTCATCAACTGACTCCAAATAATACGAGTCAATTAATACGAGTATCCCACATCCCTCTGTATTAAATATACAAAATATCCTCATCTGTACTTGGAGGTAACAAATTTCGAAGAAAATGGTCTTGTTACAAATATCCTAGAACCACCAAGCGCCTCTCAAGCACAAGGAAAGCTTGTAGGCAAGCCGCAGGTCGCCGCAACTGCCGACCGTGAAACGAGGTCAACAAAATCAGCGGAAATGCCGTGCAGTGAACATCACATCTGCTCCTCCTTCGTGGAAATTAATCATTACCCACTGTGTATCATCAATAGATTTCACATAAAAATTACAATCAGAAAGATAAATTATAATTGATTCTTGTATTACGATTCTTGATTCATTCATATGATTTCCTTCTATGAAATTTTTTTTTCTTTTAAAGCATTATTCACAAAACAAAGTCTGCTATAAAATAATGTTTCCTTCTACACGCACCGGGAACACAGCCTCAACAGAACTTTCTCTGGCATTGCATTCTAAGGCAGATGGGGTGAACCTCTGTACTCAAGTGCCCATAACTTCGAACAAATTCGTTGCTGACATTTGGCCTATCGCAGAAGCTAAGGGAAACACTTCGACTTAGAGAGAAATATGGGCATAAACACAGGCTCCAATATTCCGGCAAAACGAAACATATCTCAAGCAATAAAATCTTTTCCAATTGCATTTCTCCTGTAATATAATGTCAGGCCTAAGCTGAAGTCCATATTCTCCATCCTGGCCTCCATATGATTAAAGTCAGGCAATGCCGAGAATTCTTTAAAGAGCAAGCCATTCCTCACCAATTATAAAAGATTTACCTTCAGGTCAGGGAATTGAGGCCCAGGCGCTTTTCAAATGTGCGTATTCGCAATTTCCTGTTCAAGATCAGCAAATTTGTACTCTCACTTCTACATTAATAATCGTTTGAACCACACAGCATATGAGGTGCCGGTATTTTTTACCTTCATGTCTAATTTATTCCGTCGTCAAGGCATTGTAATGACGAAACAACCTATCGCTTTTAGGTTAGTCTCTATCGTGTTCGAATTCACCAGATATTTATTAATTTTAACTGCAATACATTCACAAAACTCACAGGTGTACTGACAGCTTGCATCAACGTCAGTGCTAGAGACGGAGGGCAATGTTTTGTATGATGTTATTTTTTTCAGCTCCAGCGGCATCTACAAGAACTCACCATAAAACATAAGTTATTTCATCACACGTAACTTCACTTCACGCTCAAATCTTCGCTATTAAATCTTGAACGAATTTTGATGGTTCGTATCAACGTATTAAGATGCAAGAAAATTAAGAGCATATACATATAGGATCGGCTTAGTTTAACATTGTATGTATGATGAGATCATCGTCCATCATAATTCATAGTGTACTTCCATACGGCGCATGTCTTCGCCGCAGTCGTGACCTGCGAGGCGGAGTGTTGCAGTAGATACAGCATTAATCTAGCCGCAATCCTAGTGCAACAGCAACGTACCGGCTCATCAACAAAGGAATCTAATACTGAAATACGAGTTTAATCGCTAAAAAATCATACGGTTCTAAGAATCCAACGATTACGAAATCCCGGACGCATAGTTTTATCAAGTAAAAACATTTAAGCCTGAAGAAAGTGCGTCTTGGCGAAGCTGATATGACATCAAGGATTTTCGTGTTGTATGGAGTTCAGAGATGGTTTGAAGTGAACACAAAGTGCCATAGTTTCATAGCCATAGATAATTGGGCAAAATTGTATATCTTTGGACCATAAAAGGGCAATAAAAAATTGCTACCCCAAGGTTGAGGTTCGGTAGAGAGCTACGCATGAAGGACGGACAGGTTTTGTGTAGACGAAGAAACCAACATTTAGGAATATGTCAGTCGACATTAAATATGATTGAAATGTGATTGAGGGCAAACAAGATATGCATTGAAAAATTGATATTTTTGCCGCTAAAGATGAAAATGAACATGTGCCAGGCTCAAGTTCATTCATTATTTTCATTAATGAATACTTATGACTTTCACCAAATTCGTCCTTATTCATAATGTCGTTATACTCAAGTTTGCATGAACTCGCAGGTCGAATGAAAGTCATGTGAATGCCCTTCTCTTTAGGTATGCAAATAAGGTGAATAAATACTCACAAGTATGTTTACCAACATACATTACAAGTTTTACAACGTAGCTTTATATCATCCGAATGGGTACAGTGTCGGTATGATGCCGGATAACTTCGAATTGCATCCACCGATTCTCTCAAGATGCGCTTCGCTATCGTTGCAACTATTTCTTCCTGTGATATCCAGAAATGATTTTGAACTCAGTAATAAACACAATTGAATAATTGCATAAATTTTTTTTTTTGCGTGCTTATACTGAGACAATGATTGTTCTCGTCATCCAAACGCATTGGAATGAAAATAACATTTTTAAACGATCCCTCAATAACTGAACAAAATAACATGGGAAATTGATCATGAAATTCGTGAGAAAAGTGTGTGCATTTGTTTGTGCGTTGCAAGCATAACTTATAAGGACTGGCATTGGCAACCGCGTTCAGGTCAGTTGACTTAGAGCGCGCGTGAGAGGTAGGCGAGGCTTCGCCTGCTCTTGTCTGCACAGATCACTCTTCGTCGGTAAGTATCGAGATGATGCACCTCTCGATTTTTAAATATGTTTCATTATTTTGGTATGCACTCAGCTGCTGAAAAGTATTATGAAGGCTTTAGGAAAGTTTGAACTGTATTATTAATACATATATTCTACAGTTACCAAGGGAGTTAAGCATGAAGTTCACTCACTTTGCTCAGCGGCCCGCAAAATTATATTAATCTATCTTTCTATCAGACACCCGGCGCTCTATTCAGATTACACTTTGAGTCTGAGAATGAAGACAATCATATAATTAAAGGAATTTTAATCTCAAAATAGAATCAAATATGTTATTACTCTCGTAGCTGGGCAGCTGTCTCATGTCCCTGAAACCGGCAACCTGCTCACTCTTGTTTTAATATATACGTCTTTGACTGGAAATTATGGAATTCCCAACGCTCAATTAAAAGTTTTTATAATTATTTTGCCTACGATGGGTGTGGTGAAGTGCGGAAAAAAACTAAGCTAAGATTAGACGGTCATTCGAGCTTCGAGGGCAGGCAATCAATAAGTAGGACTCTAGGAGACTTAAGACTTAACTGAGTTAAGATTAAGCTTCCGTTAGTTAAGCAGTTGAGGGTATCATATGTAAGGGCTCAGTGTCCAGTAGGTATACATCAACTGAACGGGTAAACTGGAAAGTAATTATGCCCATTTAAACGTACAAATTAATAGGTACCCGAGCAAGGAACTTTGATCTTGAGAGCCTGTGTGCCATGGAAGTGTTCACACGGATGCAAATATAGACTCATGACCAAGGCCAAAGCTGCAGACAGGACGTGAAGGAATGTTCCGCTGTTCGTTGCAACTGTGTTCACCAGCTCACCGAACGACCGCCTGGTGGAAGGATACGGTTGACTAAAATAATTCCAGACGGCCGCCGTTGCTTTTGTCTATTTACCCTATCAATGGAGTTGCTTACTATTCGCCTCTTTTCTCATAGGCTTGTTTGCTGGGGTTAATACGTGTTCTGCAATTCACTCTAAGAGCGTCCAAGGAACGCTTGGTAATGTCGCTAAATTGGGTTTGGTGAGACAGACCGACTTGCTATTGTTCCAGGTTTTGATGACTTTCTCTCAGTATTGAGACCGATTAGATCTTTAAAATTATTTTCTGACTTTTAATTATACATATCACTGCCCGGATATATTTTGCAACATTCCGTCTGGTCTCCCAACTTAGCTGGGAGTACAGGGGCGCCGCCATATATGGAGCGCCGACCGATTGGTTAGACTGCAGAACTTAGCCCATGTGTGCAGCGCAGCCTCCGCGTGGCCGCTGCTGCAATGTGCCGCACTCATTAAAAACTTTCCTGTCCCTAGCGTAAAATGTAGGTAGAATTTAAATTGAAGTAGTAATAAAATAAACTCCCAAGTGCGACGTCGTTTCGGTGGATGACCATAGGTTATGTTTGCGTATGGATAAATCGTACTTTTTTGGTGGAGGTATGTGAATGTTTCATTTAGATGCTACTCGTTAGATTTTTTACATATGAAAATACGAAAGTCATCTCTTAACTTTAGTTTAAATGTGTTAACAATGATAACATGTTACGTGATGTGTTTTGTGCTACGGGCTGACTGACAATGATAACATGTTACGTGATGCGTTCTGTGCTACGGGCTGACTGACACAATGATGACATGTTACGTGTATTCTGTGTTACGGGCTGACTGACACAATGATGACATGTTACGTGATGTGTTCTGTGCTACGGGCTGACTGGCACAATGATGATGTTCCGTGATGCGTTCTGTGCTACGGGCTGACTGACACAATGATAACATGTTACGTGATGTGTTCTGTGCTACGGGCTGACTGACACAATGATGACATGTTACGTGATGTGTTCTGTGCTACGGGCTGACTGACACAATGATGACATGTTACGAGATGTAATTTTGGAAAACTTGAAGGGTAATCATATATTACTGCAATATTTGCAATAATAGATATTCTTTGGCGAATGCAATAATTTTGGATTTATTAAGAAAATAGTATTTTCAGTTGATGGTATTTCAGACGCTAGCAATATTTTCTAGTTATGAGTGCGTTCAGAGCGTGCGCGTGATAAAGGCAGCGCATTCGTCTTCTCGGAGTGCGCCGAAATAGACGAGGATGCGTCAGACTTTGCATCATCTTGAGTTCAAATTCTCTGAACGTTAAGTGGACCGCTGTTTGTTTTTCCCGACACATAACTCGCTGTCTTATGGGTAATGTTTATCCTTAGGACAGTTGCTAATTACCAGCTTGGCATATATTTTTACTTTAACTTAATATTTTCAATCGCGATTCCTGATATCCTGCACAGCTGTGCTGAATTTCTTCTACTTGCGACGTTTCTTTCGTTCTTGGCCTCACAAGTTTTCAGCTTATAGTATTGTATATTCTAACTCGTGTTAATGTTTGTTTGTTTGTAAATATCTTGCACTTCAAGCATCCTAAGTAGCAATTGTCTTCTTGTAAGGTACCATTAAATAGACAATGAATGGAACTTACGGTTGAACAAACCGATTGATTGGGCAATAGCAAAGTCATGCATATCTTTACGTGCCGTGCAATTTATATTTGTATTTTTGTATTTTTCAGTGTCTAATTTTAGGTGTAGTTGTTTTTATTGCTGAGCCAAACTGTTCTTAACTTCACCAAAAATTCCTTTGCAATTATAATCATTGTCAAGTTTTGGTCGACTTAACGACGTAGTAAACTGATGTCTTGGCTGAACTATTAGCGGTTTGGACGTGTTGCTATTATTATTGTTTTGTGATGCTTGCTTGAGGCGTGCAGTCCAGGCCGCTCCTGCCATGCCAACACTGGCAGGCTCAGACTCGCATGATCCTGTCATTATCATGTTAAGGAGCATCGCTTAATAAAGACTAAAGAGCTGCTGGTATTGCCGACAAAATTAAAATCCATAATTTTTTATAACTCGTTTGAAATTGTTTCTCAAACACCAATTAAGTCTGTCAAAAATAGTCATAGTGCAATAAAGGATTATTTTACATGACGTCTAAATCTTGCATGTTCGCCAAACGTAAGCAATATGTTTACTAGTATTTATCAAGTATTACATTATTCTCGGCTCAATGACTTGTTTGTAACACTCCTTATTTGTCTATGTTATTCTAAAATTATCTATGGCTTACCTTATGAGGGTTCTTTAGTCACGGTTTTGCTGAGCTGAGCGGCAGACGTTACTTCTTCTTTTAGTCAGCGCACGTACAGCCCTCGAACCGCGCCATCCCCATAAGGGAGGCAAGCATCAAGCTCTTACCAATGAAGTAAATACCTCAGCCTACAATGTATCAACTATCTTGCATAGATATGTCTTGAAATTGATTGTATATATATCATGGACAACACTTAAAAAATATAACTCAGTACTCACTGCAGTGCGTGACAGAGAGCGCATTTTCTCGTCGACAAAAACATGAAGTCACGGACGGACAGACAGAAGGACAGACAGACGGACATGGCGAGCACAATAGTGAATTTTTTTTCATAAATGAGAAAATTCGCTAAAAAGTATGAGGGTAACGAATCTCTCGCGAAACGAGTTTTAACTCTCTCGGCGACATTTCTTAGAGCTATTTATACTGGTCCAGAGGTTCCTATATGACATTATTTCATTAACTACCGTCACTGCCGCTAAAAGCAGCTAATGTGTCTCGTTGACACTATAATTAACTTGGATGTCGGCACTGCCACGAGCTCACCGACTCTGCAGGATGATGTCGACGCCACTGCAGGATGATGTCGACGCCACTGTATGATGATGTCGACGCCACTGCATGATGATGTCGACGCCACTGCAGGATGATGTCGACGCCACTGCATGATGATGTCGACGCCACTGCATGATGATGTCGACGCCACTGCGTGATGATATCGACGCCACTGCGTGATGACGTCGACGCCACTGCAGGATGATGTCGACGCCACTGCAGGATGATGTCGACGCCACTGCATGATTATGTCGACACCAGCAGTGGTTGAATTGAGCAGTAGTGGCAGTGGGACGCCTTCAGTGGTGGAAGAGCCACAATTTTAAAAGCAGAAGTCATAAAAGAAAGCATGAATCCCAAACAAACAAATTCTGAAGTTCAGTTACGACAACTAAACAATTAGAGTATTGTTGAGCTCCCTGCGTCCATCCATCTCAGTTCCTTAAACTGAACGCGCTTAATTTGTAGATCATTGAAGCAAGAAGGATTAAATTTTGACATTTTCTCCCTGGTCGGCTTGATTTGTAATTGCGAAAGATAGATAAAAAACAAGGTAATGCTTGACGTAAACTTGGAATACAGTTGGTAACCCAATGACTGGACGATCAAATCCTTACCTGTAACGTTACCTTCTTATTAGAATAATTAGCTCAGTTCAAGGAACGAGACGATACGTTTGAAAGTATTTAAATTTGTAGAAATTATATATTATGTATCCAAATAAATAAATGAGTTTTGCAAGGTGGGTTAGCAGAACAGTGGCACGGAAATGTGCTTAGTAGCGGGAAAATTGAAGAAGTTAGATTTTTAAAATCTACAATGGGCGCTAAATTGTAGAAAAAAAATTTTCGACTAAGAGAAGCAACAATACTGAGATCGCGGTTCATTAACTGCGCCCAACCGGAGACTGGGTCGCGCCAGGGTAATGGCCTTGACCTTGAGCTCACCTTGATGGACCTCGCAGGCCAGGAACAGCCGACCATCAAAATACCAGTCGCTACCAACCGGCTGGCTACATTGTTGTCCTTGTGCCATCATTTGCCGTGAATTATTTATACGTATAAAATTGTGTGCACACAACCTGCAAACTTTTATGTCCACTATTCCATTGTTATGTATTAGTTTCTTACTATTCTCGTACCGCGTTCGCAATGTTTATATTGTTTGATGAAGCTAATGAGATTAAAAAGTAAATAACACTAACATTTTCATATTAGTGGTAATCTTAACATCTTTTTTCTGAATGTGACACTGTTATTATATATAATAATCAGTTGTAAATTGTAATGCATTCAGGAGCGCCGCTCAAGTATTACTCAATATATGCGATCCAATATGCTGTACTCGACTAAGTAATTACATTACGATGTTTACTAAATTAATTACGATGATATGAAAGCCTAAGAATGATGATCGTCCTGACTTCAACTCGAATAGCAGCTTTAACCTTTTTATTATGAGTTTTATTATTTATCGTACTACTTTATAGATTTTTCCGCGCTCATATTCCGGTGACATCGATGGCTGCAGAAATCCTATTAATTGTAGCCTTGATCGCATTCATTCTTTGCCTTCAAATAAAATAAATGCCGTAAATATCACACACGTGAAATAAAAAACATGAAATACTGTATATTCTGCATTAAAGAGACGTGTTGTGATAGATTCCCCGAGTGCGTGCCGAGCGCGGTGGTAAAGTGCTAAGGCTTTAATAAGAAAATGACGACATCGCTCAGTCGGCTGCTCAGGCGCCATGAGATGATTGCATGTCTGTCCAGAGGATGAATTTGTGAGGCTGAACGTGCAAGATGAGCACTTGATCTATAATATTCTATACTGTTAGTGATCGTGAGAAAATGTGAATAGTTGTTACTACACCACCGATTGTGGGATGTTCGATGCATGTGTTTGGATGTAACTGCGCTTATAATTGTGGATTGTTCAATGTTCATCGCATGGAAATTGTTATTGTACTTCTGATTATGGATTGTTTGCGGCATGAGGGGTTTTCTTCTCATGTGTAGGAGGAAATATGTCTGCTTGAAGTCTGTCGATTAGCTAAAAAAACTTTTGTCCATCGCGAAAAACTGATGAAATAGCTGATTTTATAAGTTCTGCTCATGGTCTTCTCATGTCAGATCGTTGTCTTTTTATGTCAGCTCGTGGTCTTCTTATATCATCAGGTCGTAGTCTTCTTATGCTAGCTCGAGATCTTACGTCATCTTGTCTTACCATACACTGTATTTAAGATTATTTTCTGAAAAGTTACCTGTATCCCAAGTTACTTTAATTACATCGCAGTTGCAGGTATGCTTTGCCATGATGGAATTAAGGGCATAGCTCTCACTGCCTCGTTAATGCTCTCCTGCTTTTCTTTAAACTCTTACGGGTAAAATTGCAGGATCAATCGGACATGAACGTCACTGCTGCGCTGAAAATACATTTCTCTTTTTCAGAATATTCGAAGACGAGAAAAATGAAATGCAATCTCATGCGAAACTCCCAGATTACACTTTATTTTACGTGGAATTTTTCTACGAATGGCGTTATGATGTCAAAAGGATAACGAATGATCGTCATTAAGATTGAACATTCGCAGCACTTCCAGAACTCGTCATAAGTTGTCTCTGTTGTAGAAATTGATGTTGTAGAAATATCTCTGTTGTAGAAATTGATGCATGATTCCACAAACAAGTCATCAGATATAAATATTTTAGGTTTATTTAATGTTGAAATTACTATCTGCTCACAACGCTTTTAAGCGGTGATACTTGATAAAAATGCGGTGATAAATATAAGATACATTGATCAAAGTCTACGAGGCATGGTACACGCAACGTTTTTATAAGATTCGCCGTGTTGCGCCGAACTTGGCAATTGTACGAGACGCGTGAAGTGAAGGCAGCAACGAAGCTGGCGTCGCTGGCCACAATACGTGACGCGGGGCCACGCATGTGGTTTGTTTTAGCCTTTAGTGCTGCCTGTGCTAATTAATTTTAGCATTAGTTTTACGCATGGCGTGAGAGGTTCATTGCACTGCAGCTACTCTAGTCGAGTCGTCTTGGGCGGTGCACGAGTCGTGACTGTTATCAATTATTCAGCCACCTCACAGTGCGAGGTCGTCAATCAGTAGAAATAATTTTTTATAACTTTAAACGAAAAATGATAATGAAAATTTACGTGGATACGACCTCACAGGTATATCTCTCAATAGATCGAGCAAGGAACCTAATTAAATTTAAAAGTCGATCTATCTTCAGAAGCTACGATGTCAAGTTGTTCTATGTACATTAATTGCTTGACTTTTTTCTCTTTCAAACCTTTCTATCGGACTTCTCTTAACCTTCATTTCCAATTTTCCTGTAAAACGTGCAGGGCGCCAGAGCGCCAAGTTCGGGATAAAATGATATTTTATTTCAGGAAATAAATAAAATTTACAACTCACCGGTTTCATTAACGCACCTTCAACTCGTACTTCCTAGACCCATTACAGGTACAGTCCCTGGGACAGAAATTTAATGGTTCAAATGGTGGAAAAAATTATTGAAGGCAACACAGTTTACGACATCGTCGTATTCGCGCAGAACTGCCTCTGCTTCGCTCACACGTGTGTTTGAGTCTCTAAATGTTCTGTGGATACATTGTTCTATTAATCTATTTGAATAAATGTTTCGATTGACGCTCGCAGCTAGTAAATTCGCTGAAAGATATGCCCCGCTAGAGTTTTTCTGTCTAATCTTTGGTAGGAAAATCTTAGGTAGTTGTTTAAAAATAATTCTTTATCCCTATAAATTTTTCTTTATTTCTTTTTGGCGCGGACGTGAGTTTTTCTGCAAGGAACTTGATCGTAGAATTCGATTTCTTACTCTCCTCTTTGATCATGCTCAAGCCAAGGCACTATCGTGGGATTGCTCAACGATACAACCAACGTATACTAGGCAGAATGTGACGGCATTGAAACTTAACGAGGCTGCAACGCAAACGATAGCGCTGAATGCGAGCACTTAAACGTGGCAGCGTGACCGAGGGCTGTAGATAAACGACGCGATACGTTCTGCCATACGGTGCATGGGCGCTGACAGGTCTGCAAATAACGAGATAAACACCCATTGCATTTTTGTGGATACCTGTACAACACAATGAATATAGTTTCTCGGAATACGGTTTAACGAACTTCAGGATACAATGGAATAGAGAGCACGTACGTTTTACGCAGTGCAAGTTTCAAGTTGGAGAGTATTTTTCGATTAATTTGTATTCATTTCATTGGTACGCTGACTTTCTAGTGCGCCAGTCATAGATACAGGGTGCGTGCAGTGCAGTGCTGCTTGACAGCTGCAGAGCGCTGACTGTATTGAGAGGCAGGCATCACGGTTGCTGTCAAGTGGCGGCGTGCCAATAACATGTGCTTGTTGCTTGCCTTCTAAAGCTCTTCGTAAATTTTCTCGAGTTCATAGCGAAGTGAAATTTACTTATGTTTTCTATACTGCTTGTTGAAGGTAAAAGAGCACGGAACTGGCACCATGAGCGCTACTCGGTACGGCACGGGCTACAACAACTGGGTGAACGGCCTGCGCGCCACCTACTCCAGGGAGCTCAACCGCCGCATCGCTGAGGAGAAGGAGGCTGAGCAACGTGAGTCTCCACCGATATTCTGAATATCTTCTGTTGGGTAACAAAGTTGTCATAAAGATGTGTCGCATGTAGTCATAAAGATGTGTTGAATTAAGTCACTGAAGCTGCTGCTTGAACATATTTCTGTCAAAGCTGTGTTGGGTTGAGTCGCAGCGGCGGGGATTAAAGCCACATCATTAGTTGTGATGCAGTGATTATGTTCAGCCATTTTGTGGTACCCGTTATCTTGCTACTCTTTTGCAGCGGAGGTGACGGAAATCAACCGAGTGGACCGCATTCACTTCTACATCAAGGACAACGCCACGCAGCACAACACCATCAAGTTCGATCAGGTACACGATGTCAACTCCCCCAAGCCCGTCCTCAGAAGGGGCCAGACATTCTACCTCGCCATCCGCTTCAAAGAGCGTAATATCGACTTCGAGCAGGACCGAGTCATTCTTAATTTTGTCTTCGGTAAGTGTACAAAATGAATGATATTGCCTGAGTAAAACTTAAAACTGAAAATTAAAACCCGTGTTAATGAAATAATTAAAAACTTTTCTTCATAAATTATCTGATTACCAATTTTGGTACCGTTGATTTACCTTTTAAATACCTTCTGTATTTTTTTTTCCTTGGAACTGATTCCCAATTTTGGTACCTTTGATTTACCTTTTTAAATAACCTTTGCACATTTTTTTCTTGTAATTGTTAAAAATAGTTTTATAATCTATGGTTGTGAGGTAATATGTGTTGTTCTGCGGTTGGTCAGGACCCAGGCCTTCCGTCACCAAGGGCACGATGGCCGTCATCGCCGTGGAGAACAGGAGCTTCACTAAGAGCAAGAACGACTGGGACGTTCGCATCGACCCTGGCACGCGGGGCAAGGACCTTGTGCTCCAGGTCTGCCACGGACTAAATTAATCATACTTATCAGTCCCATCATTTAGTCATTTCTTTTACCATCTTATGTCCCACCTGTTTGTAAAAGCCTGGTAACTTGGGCTACCGTCAGCAGACGGAGGGTTAATCTTCGATCTACGGATAAGTTAACCTTCGTTAATGTTATTTCTATGTAAATGATGACAGTATCGATAGTTACCGTTATTTGATAGGTTGTTTTTATTCTGATTTGTAATCACGTGTTTGCCGATGCTATGACATTTCGATGAAAGGGAAATTGGCACGCGGAACACAAGTGAAATAAAAATATGTTTGGTCTTATTGGTGGGGTTTTTGGGGGTGAACGAATTCACCAGAACATTCGATAATAACGTTAGTCAGTACACACAGTACTTGAATATTGTGAATGTTCTATTGCGCTCAAACCTTACGCATGCAAACACAAAACAACTCATAACTTTGCCCGTGCAACATGAAAGCACACGCGTTTACCGTAGTCGTGCTCGAATATAAATGTGTTATAAATGTGTGACGCATGTAGTCATAAAGATGCGTTGCATGTGGTCGCAGAGATGAGTCGCATGTAGTCATGAAGATGTGTTGCATGTGGTCGCAAAGATGAGTCGCAGTTAGTCACAAAGATGAACGCATTTAGTCGCAAAGACGAACCGCACGTGGTCATAAAGATGTGTTGCATTTAGTCACAAAGATGAGCTGCATTTAGTCACAAAGATGAGTCGCATTTAATCACTAAGATGTGTCGCAGTTATGTGACAAAGATAAGTCGCATTTAGTCACAAAGAAAAATCGCATTTAGTCACAAAGATTAGTCGCATTTAATCACTAAGATGTGTCGCAATTAGTCACAAATATGCGTCGCATGCAGTCTACGGTCTATGTGTACGTTAAGTCATCACAATAACCTTGTCGTACCATCAGGTGTACGTGCCGGCGTCCGTGCCCGTTGGTATTTGGAGGCTCAACGTACGCACGGGCCTGCACGACCGCTCCCTCAACAAGAACACCGTCCTGCACTCCCAGGATACCGACATATTCATCCTCTTCAACCCCTGGTGCAAGGGTCAGTCTAACTAGCGCCTAAACNGCAGATCCTCTGCCATAAAAGTACTGTTACCAGAGCCCCGTAAGCGGCAGATCCTCTGCCATAAAAGTACTGTTACCAGAGCCCCGTAAGCGGCAGATCCTCTGCCATAAAAGTACTGTTACCAGAGCCCCGTTAGCGGCAGATCCTCTGCCATACAAGTACTGTTACCTGAGCCCCGTAAGAGGCAGACTTTCTGCAGTCCAAGAAGTGAGAGATCGCTAAAGGAAACCCCTATAGCGTCAATTTATCAAGTCGACCCTTGTAGCGTCTATTTATCGTTGCAACTCCTTCAGCGTCAGGTAGTCATGCAAGGCTGCCCTTTTAGCATCAGGTTATCAAAGCGAACCCTGAACCGTTAGGTTATCCAGGCGGCTCTTCTAGCGTCAAGTCATCTATACGACGACCGCTATCGGTTGTTGAGGAATTGAGATTTGTCGTGAAGATTATGCTTGGAGTGTAAGTGAATGATATTGCCGTAACTTCCTTATCATATGTGTAATAAGAATATAATTAATTTGCTGGATATTAAAGAAATTTAAATGCAAAAAATCAAAGCGGGTGCTTAGCTCTTTTGTGTTAATTCATCGCCGTACTAGCGCTAGCATCGATCTCGTTTGTTGTTTATCTATCTTAGATACTGTACATTCGTGCTTCATTAGATACGTAGCCCTGAAAAATGTGCTTACACTCATCATTTTCTTCGTTGCAGGGAACACGACCCGAATGTTCAAGTGCCGTAAGAAATCCGTGTTCACTGTCGTGATTTTTCTCTTGCCCTTTTAAACCAAGTTAAACATTTTTTAACACATTACTTTAACTTCACGCAGCTAATGGAATTTTTCCTTCTAATTTCCTTCTCCAGTTAGATTCCGTGTTCACGGCCTCGTCAACTTTGAGTGATTCTCTTTTTTCGCCTGTGTTCCGTTGTTATTTGTTCCTATTGTTTTGTTCGGCGCATACTTATAGTTGTTTGGTGTTCTTTGTTTTTATCTGATTAGCTTAATGTTATGAGTTGAGTTTCTAACTTTAAATTTGAGTTTATTAAGTCGTTATTTTGGTACTTCTAGAGCAATCATCAACATTCAGTGCATTGTATTGTATTTAGTTTCATTTTAAGACCTAAGCGGACAATGTTCTCTCTGCGTTGTCTAAATGAAATGTTTCTGTATTACCATGTATTCAGTTCGCTAACAATTAATATATGCATAATAAGGACATATGAGTTTTATATTTGTTATAATGCTGCTAATTTTTATTGACGTATGATTTATGTTTGCACAGCACCGTGGCGGTGGGCGGCAAGTTCGAGTACACGTTCCGCTTCACTCCGCGTATCCACGGAGAGAGGAAACTGGTGGCTTCCTTCAGCTCCGAGGAACTCTACGACATCGCGGGCAGCAAGACCATCGACGTTGTCAAGGAGTGAGACGACCGACGTTTTGGTATGCAACGTCAACAACGTCGCGTTGACGTGTGCTTTGTCGAGGGAATAACCCATCTGACCGAGGTTGTCAAGGAGTGAGACGAGCGACATTTTGGTTTGCAACGTCACCAACGTCGCGTTGACGTGTGCTTGCACATGGTGGCTGGTGTGAGACTATAATGTGGTAAAAGTTGCGCGGTACCGAATGTGTCATGACGATGACTTACTTCATTGATGTTCTTGCTTGTGTATATCATGAACACAGCTACTTGTGGTTTTAGACTCTTAATGGAATAATAGTTGTGACAGTTCTATTATTTTTGATACATATATCTGACGCGAATGTCGTTATTATTTTCACCTAGCAAATTGCAAAACTGTGTTTTAATGCTGACGACATAATACGGCAACATGGCTAGATTTGATGCGCTCCAGAAGCTGATTATCTTAATGCTAAAGATTAAAAGTTCAGGTGTTGGTAGGATTTGAGACGCGTTTTTTAAACCTTTGATAAAGCGTTCACGTCTTCCTGGGAACAGTTCACTACAGTAATACGAACATTTTTACAATGAAGTATGTGTTGTCACCTTAGTGCAAAAAATGCTATAATGTGTTTATTATTTTTTTAGCGTAATGTCTATTTGCAATGAAAAATTGGTCGTACGATAGAAGTTGTTAAATGATGTAGTTTTGTCTGATATGATACCTTTATGATATTTTTATCAGGAATTATGGTTCCCATGAAAAAACTATTTATATTTTTATTCAATTGCGTATGCGTATATACATAGCTGCTTGATATGCTTGGAGTTTCTCTTAAGTTCTATTATCTTAATTTTTCTTCCCTGTAAGTTCTATATTCTCATTTCGATATATAAACCTATCAGATGGAATCATGTGCAGTTACTTAATCGTATTTTGCGTCGGACATGTGTATAATTCGTCCACGATCTATTGCGCTTAAAAATAATCGAATTTAAGCCTAAAGCTCTGAATTTATTTTTTAATTTGTGCAAGATTGTCAGTTCAAACTGTTTGTTGGCATGCTAATGAGCTTGCGTTACGAGGCACGAGTGATTGAAAAGTGACTTTCGGCGACTGTAATATTTAAGATTTTTATTTTGAACGATGCCCTGAACACGCTATGCGATTTAACACAATGATTTCAGTCCTCATCATCTGCTACTATGAAATAATTTTGGCGTACCAAACATACGAGAGGCACGTACTGTTGGATTTACTTCTGTGAACTTTAATTTGTAATAAATTGCTGTTCTTAGAAGCGTAGTAATGCTGGCAGCTCTGTGATTACCTTCCAGTTGTCGCGATCTCATTTATTTTCAAGGCATGCATTTAATGGAAAATTTATGGTTGAAAGCATCAACTGTGCACGTTACTAAATTTAGATAGTCTAAACTGTCCCCATAGCGTATTAAATCTGAGTGCCATTTAGCCGCTCGTATAAAAATCATGTCTTCAGTTTGATCGCTGCTTATAGACGACCAATAAATGCTTTGGCTTTATTTCGCTTATTTGTTACCTCTGCATTCAATCTGCCTTGAAAGATGTTTATTCAAACGACTACAGAAATACGTTATTAAAGTTCACTTTTTTTTCTGTACATCGCAAGGTGCAAGTTAAGAGTTTGCTCGTGACGCAGTCTATAATGTTTAACGCATAGCGTTTTTTGCAAATTAGGGAAGTTTTATCACTCCAACCAAATAGGTTGCCGTTACATAACTAAAAAATTTGATAGTCAATGTAATGTATTGGACAAATACATACAATTTTGGTGTCACATACATCCTCAACACGATATGGCGCGGTAGACAGATTTAAGATTAACGTTAAAAATTCTGGAGCAAAGGTTGGGAAAAACGGTGAATAAATTTTCTAGGAATTAGCCTTAAAAGTTTCAATATTCCTTGCTTATGCACCATCTGCACATAAAGTGGTTTTCTCGAACTTTTTGGTGATCTAAATTAATGCTCAAAAGAAATTGAGAGCCGAAACTGGCTGGTGGCATGTCTTGAGAATCACTAACTTTCTTATAGAGCGATGCTTGTAAATGTTAACAATGCAGGACATCGTTATAATTAAACGACATCATTTAGTTTATATATAGTCGTTAGTCAACGAAATGAACGTTTTAACGATCAGCAGTGATTAATTTTCTTCCTTTGCTATGATTAATCTAGGTAAGTATCTGAATCGGATACAATGGGGGTCATGAAAAGAATGGGACTGCGGAAAGAGGTCGTGTACTGGAAAGATCTGGAAACCACTGTTATACAGAGGATAACACGCTTGACGTTATAGTTTTGTTCCTAAGGCCAGCAAATGTCGTCTCTTTTTATTTGGTGGTGGTGGTGATTGGTGATTATTGGAGCTTCGAAGACTTGTCCATGTAGCTCCACAACTGTACGTCTTTTTATTTGGCTGTAAGACAAATGCCGTGTCTTCTCTAGATTGGTTTTAAGACAAATGTCGTGTCTTACAATCAATTCCGGGTTTAAGATTTGGTTCGAACGTACGGTAGCGGACTGCAAGTTCTTCGTGGCAGTTCGTTACTTGTTCGCTGCAGTTCCTCAAATTGCTCACGACCTCAATATGTTGAATAACTATGAAATTATTAAATGAAAGTCATGGAGTAAATTCTGTCAATCATTCTTCAAGGGTTGCATCAAGGTGTTAAAGTGCATTCCCGTAAGGAACGAAGTAAGGTAATACTCTGATGATGTCACCTTGCTACTTGTAAAATACTTTTTCTGAAGCTATTGTCTGTTCCTCAGGACCTGAGAATCATCTTCCCGTTAGTATTTATTCTTATTTTCAAAGTGGCCTATGAATGGAGCAAGAGAAAGGCTTTGGTCGTGTAGAACATGTGTTTCCTAACGTTTTACGATCGATTACCCCTTGAAGATCCCGCAGTGTCGCCGTGACTGCGGTTTACCATCAAGTACGAAAGAGATACTCTAATATTCTCTAATATTACGTACCAGATGCTAACATGGTGTGCTATTTACACTATACCTTACTCTATTGGCTGTTAATCATTTCAATAGGCAGAGTTACTGTTTTAATTTAATGGTGTTTAATGGTGATCAAGGGTGGTGGTCCAGGTGGGTGGCAGGACACCATCTTAGAGCGAGTGCTTCGAAAGCTATTGTTATTACTGAACGTATGTGCTCGCCGTTACTGACAAGTTATTGCATCCATTATAACTGAATATCATTTGCAGATTATTTCCCCATTCCATCTCGGGGTTTCAGCGAAGCTTTTGCCATCAAGCATTTACGTCACTTGCATTGCATCTAAACTCGTTCGAAAGTAAGTTAAGTCTTTGCAATCTTAACTTTAATAATTTATTTGATCGTTATGGAGGCAGTCGGTATGATGGCAGTCGGTATGGAGGCAGTCGGTATGATGGCAGTCGGTATGGAGGCAGTCGGTATGGAGGCAGTCGGTATGTTTCTATGTAAATGATGACAGTATCGATAGTTACCGTCATTAGAAAGTGGTTTTTATTGTGATTTGTAATCACGTGTTTGCCGATGCTATGACATTCCGATGAATGGGTAATAGGCATGCAGAAGACGCGTGAAATAATAATAACATGTTTGGTCTTATTAGTGGGGTTGTATCACTTGTATGGGTGAACGAAATCCCAAGAAGTTTCGATAATAACGTTAGTTAGTACAATTGATTCCTGGAAATTGTGAATTTTCTATTGCGTTCAAACCATACGCATGCAAGCATGCCACAACTCTGGTAACTGTGCTCATGAAACATGACAGTACAGGTAACGTTTTCCTTAGTCGAGCTCGCATTGAATGTGTCATAAAGATGCGTTGCATGTGATCACAAAGATGAGCCGTATTTAGTTACAAAGATGTATCGCATGTAGTCACAAAGTTATATCTCATTTAATCACTATGATACGTCGCAGTTAGTGATAAAGATGTGTCGCATGTGGTCTACGGTCTATGTAATAGCCTTGTATCACAATAACCGTGACGTACCATCAGGTGTACGTGCCGGCGTCCGTGCCCGTTGGTATTTGGAGGCTCAACGTACGCACGGGCCTGCACGACCGCTCCCTCAACAAGAACACCGTCCTGCACTCTCAGGATACCGACATATTCATCCTCTTCAATCCCTGGTGCAAGGGTGAGTCTAACTAACGCCTAAACTATTGGCATTTCCTTGAAATCTGCTTCAAGAATTAGTATTTCTTCCGTTAGAATATCTGCATAAAGACAAGTTTTGTATCTCTACCACTGTTTAGTGCTATTTATTTAGATAATCATACTTTTGCTATTTATTTAGATATCATACAACTTTATTATTATATTCGCTCGGGCAGCGAATATCATAATAAAATTGTAATAAATGCAAGGTTTCTTGTGATCCACGTTCGTTTTAAATTGCCTCAATGCATTTATAATTCCTGCCAAGCTCCTAAGACTGGCACAATTGGTATGATTACCGTCGTGTCTGCACAGACGACTCGGTGTACTTGGAGGACGACGCGCAGAGGCACGAGTACGTGATCAACGACCGAGGCAAGGTGTACGTGGGGCAGTACCGACAAGCTCGCGGCCGCCCTTGGGCTTTTGGACAGTTTGATGACGCCGTCCTGCCCGTCGCCGTCTACCTCCTCGAGATGCCCGCCGCCAACCTGGCCCACTCTGAGAGAGGCAACCCCGTGCAGGTGGTGCGCGCCATTTCTGCTGGGGTGAGTGGGGCCTCAGAAATATGAGTGGGGGCCTTAGAAATACTTGTTACGTGGTGCTTGATATTGGGTCGTCGCAAACATGGTGCTCAGTGAGATGATCTAAAGCATAGTTGTCCATGGGCGAGCAGAAAGTGATCGTTATAATAAATATGTTACATTTGAAAGCGACTATATAGTGCAATGATTACTGCAAGAAAAAATGTACGTGTTCCAAGATGCGTTGAACTGGAAGACGGTAAGAAAGCTGTTCCCTAGTGATGCTCTCGCTGACTGGCGACTCAAACTACGACAGTGTGCTATTCCGGATATTGTTATCCAATTGGCCTCTAATTATCTTCTTAAGCAAGTACTTGACTGCAGGTGAACGACTCGAACGATGACGGCATCCTGCAAGGGAACTGGAGCACGGACTACACAGGAGGCACGCCGCCCTTCAAGTGGACGGGGTCCGTGCGCATCCTGGAGGAGTACATCAAGCAGGGCTACCGCCCCGTCAAGTACGGCCAGTGCTGGGTCTTCTCGGCCGTAGCAACCACGAGTGAGACTTGCCTAACAATAGTATCTTTCTTATCTTACTAACTATGCTACCATTTAACATTTTAAATAATAGAATGCAGTATTTGTAATATTTATTGATAGTTATGATTCAGCATGTATTCAATCTTATTATTTTTTTGCGATGAAAATTATGTAAAATCATTGTAGTTTTGGTGTTGTGGGCACTCAATTGGATTTTTTGCTAGTTTTTCTTTCAAGGTGCCGAAACATGTGAACTGATTCTAATGTATAACTCGAACTTCCTTCAGTTTGCCGCGCCCTGGGCATCCCGTGTCGCTCCGTAACAAATTTCGTGTCGGCTCACGACACAAATTCGTCGTTGACGGTCGACAAATTCTTTACGAAGTCCGGCGACGAGATCGAAGGCGGCCCCGACGGCGACAGCTTCGACTCCATCTGGAACTTCCACGTGTGGAACGAAGTGTGGATGACGCGTCCCGACCTGCCCAAGGGGTACGGCGGCTGGCAGGCCATCGACGCCACGCCCCAGGAGGAGAGCAACAGTGAGTCCTTCTTCGCAACGAGTTCTAAGTTACAGAAATTTTTGACTTCAACGTATAAAATTTCCTTTTTTTAATTTCTTGATATTGATTTCTTTTTGTGCCCAAAATAAGCATTAGAAGCCGTTCAAAAGCCGTTCATAAAATAACCCAGCGAGCCTTCATTGTAATAGAATACTGACCGCACCTTCAGGATCTTTTCCTCACAGGCCATGGGCCTATTTCTTCAGTGCCGACACTTCTATTCTATTTCAAAACAACCTCTTGTACCCGACAGACAAGATGCAGTGCGGCCCAGCGTCCCTGGAGGCCATCAGACGAGGCGACGTTGGACTGAACTATGACTGCCCCTTCGTCTTTGCTGAGGTCAACGCCGACATGATGCACTGGGGCGAGGACGAGAGTTCCGACTGGGGCTTCTCCAGACTCAAGCTCAATCAGTTCCACATCGGCAGGATGGTGCGCAGGATTTTTCGAAATAATGAAATAATGAATTAAAAGTTATTACTTATTTGTATTAATAATTACAAGTATTTATTAAAAAAGCGATTAATTGATCCAATTCTAGATTTGAATGCTTGAACAGTAATTCTTCGGTCGTATGGTCGGTCAGCCAGCGGGAAATACGTTACAATTTTAAACGAGTTAGCATGTTAATGAAAATCTGTGATGCATCGTTGCTGCTACCGTGTGGGGACGAATAAGCTTTCGTTGGAACGAAAGACAATGGTCGGATTTATTCCAGATGCAAATTTAACATTTTCCAATTTGTACAGGTGCTGACAAAGAAGGTTGGCTACGACGGTGACGATGAAAACGATGAAAATGACCGGGAGGACGTGTGTGCTCTGTACAAAGATCCTGAAGGTGAGTATTTTATTGCAATGAAGGGTCGCTGGATTATTTTTTGCTTATTATTTAAATTCATAGTGTCGTTAAGGTGGCTTGGTGGCCTTTTTACTAATTTTTAAGTTTGATTGAGGCTTCTATAATGTTTCAACGCAATATTTAATGCTAGCGTAGACCGCTGTGAAACCTCCGTGGGATATTTTTGACATTCATTGAGCTTCAGAGTTTGTACGAGATCAAAATGTTTAAGTAAATCTGGAAATTTACAAATATTAATATTTTAATTTTATTAATAATATTTTAAATTTTATTACTAATATTTTAATTTTTAATAAATTTTATCATTAATATTTTAATTTTATAAGTCAATTTGGAAAATTTAAATATTACAAAGAGAACCTATTAGGTATATTTTGAAAACAGGAAACTGAAAGTAGATACGCTCCTAATGTTTACTGTAGACTGTATAAATTAGCTCCGTTGATACGTCAGGCTCGGCGGCTGAGCGCCTGGCGATCCACAACGCCGTGCGCGGGACGCAGCGCGCGCAGCGCTACTACGCCATGCGCGACAACGTGAGCGAGGACTGCGTCTTCGTGCTAGAGGAGCTCGAGAGCATCAAAGTGGGCGAGGACTTTAAAGTCAAGGTGAGAACTTGATGTCCCTGCTGGCAGTTCTCAGCGCCAGGCTTTTAAGTACGAATAGTTTAGAGCACAGTTGAAGTAGCCTCATGGCGTTGATGTCTGTGCTGGTGTGTTCATAGTTTTTTCCTCCATTGAATTCTTCATTCTATGTCTTTCAAGTGTCATTGAAGTTTGTGGTCCGGAGGATTATTTGTCTGAGATTCGGTTCTATTAGTTCTTCACCATTTGGTCAGCGCTGCTTATTATTTTATATTTTTCTAAAAAATGCTGAGACAGTGCAGCAAATAATATCAGTTTATAGTGAAACCGTGAATTTTAATATTTTAGCCTTATCTTGAATGTCACTCGTATTTCTCAGCGTGTGATACATAATTATTTTGATACGTTTGCCTCTACTTATTTCTTATCTGGTCGGAGATTAGAGCAAATAATATTTATTGAGTGTTATTTAATTCTCGACCATTTGATTGGTTAACCGAGTAATTAAGTATAACCTTCAGAATAATCATGACCCACGCAGATCACAGTACGTAATGAGTCCGATGAGCCGCGCACTGTTCTGGCGGCGCTGACAGCTCGCTCCATCTACTACACCGGCGTCAACCACACCATCATTAAGAAGGCTGAGGGACAGATCAAGCTCGGGCCAAAGCAGGAGCAGGCTAGTGCTCGTCGAGTGGTCTTCTTAGAATCTATGTCGTAACCAAGTTATAGTAATTATATTTATGAAAATGGTACTTTCCTGAGGAAAATAAAAAAAATCTGAGGAAAATTTTTAATTATATAAAAATAATTATAGTTTATCGGCTTAAAAATTGTCCATGGTTTCCGGAATAACGGAATTCCCAAGTCTCAGGAATTATCCAACCTGAGCAACACCGGGTGGGCTGCTAAATAAATGGTAATGGGTGGTAAAAATATTTTGTTTGCACAGGAACTGGCGCTGACCATCACCTACAAGGAGTACTGGCGCAAGCTTATCGAGCATTGCCTCATCAAGATGTACGCGATCTGCCGGGTGACCGAGACCGACCAGACCTGGACGGAGGAGGACGACTTCCAGGTCCTCAAGCCGTCGCTCGACATCCAAGTACGAGACCATCCTGCAGCCTGAGTCTCGTACAAGATATATTCAGTTGTGTAGTGCATCTTTTATCGTGCTTTTTGCTGGCCACTTTCAGATGCAAAGATTCTAAATAAATAATTTATGCAGTTATTTGATTACGCAAGCCCTTGAAGTGATTAATGAAGTGTAAACGTCGGTCAGGTTCCGGACGTGGTGAAGCGAGGTCAGCCCTGTGACGTGGTCTTCTCGTTCACCAACCCCTTGGATCAGGAGCTCACTAAATGCTCTCTCAGTGTTGACGGCTCGGGACTCCTCAGGCCAAGAGCCCTCGAACTCAACAAGTAAAGTCCTATGCCACACGAGTACTGTTACCTTAGCCCTGTTAGCGGCAGATCATCTGCCTTACGAGTACTTTTACCTGAGCACCGTTTGCGGTAGATCCTCTGCCCTACGAGTCCTATTACCAGAGCCCCGTAAACTGAAGATACTCTGCCATACAAGTACTGTTACCAGAGCCCCGTAAGCGGCAGATCCTCTGCCATATAAGTACTGTTACCAGAGCCCCGTTAGCGGCAGATCCTGTGCCATACAAGTACTGTTACCTGAGCCCCGTAAGCAGCAGACTTTCTGCAGTCCAAGAAGTGAGAGATCGCTAAAGGAAACCCCTATAGCGTCAATTTATCAAGTCGACCCTTGTAGCGTCTATTTATCGTTGCAACTCCTTCAGCGTCAGGTAGTCATGCAAGGCTGCCCTTTTAGCATCAGGTTATCAAAGCGAACCCTGAACCGTTAGGTTATCCAGGCGGCTCTTCTAGCGTCAAGTCATCTATACGACGACCGCTATCGGTTGTTGAGGAATTGAGATTTGTCGTGAAGATTATGCTTGGAGTGTAAGTGAATGATATTGCCGTAACTTCCTTATCATATGTGTAATAAGAATATAATTAATTTGCTGGATATTAAAGAAATTTAAATGCAAAAAATCAATGCGGGTGCTTAGCTCTTTTGTGTTAACTCATCGCCGTACTAGCGCTAGCATCGATCTCGTTTGTTGTTTATCTATCTTAGATCTGTCTCTTATACACATCTAGATGTGTATAAGAGACAAAGCTATATGTATTGTATTATAATATTAGGTGAAATAACAATTACCTACGCTTTATTCATGCAGCCAAAGCGTTCCAACGAGATTCAGGAACGAAATATTTCAGCAGCTCTAATTTATGGTCAATTTTTTAGGAATTCGATCTGAAGTTCTCATTCCTTGCTCAAGAACCATCTGCACTTGAAGTTGTTCTCTCGACCTTTTTGGTGATCACAATTAATGCTCGAAAAAAGTTGAGAGCCGAAGCTGGCTGCATGGTGGCGTGTCTTGCGAATTACTAACTTTTCTTGTGGATCGATGCTTGTAACAATTAACGATGCAGGACCTGTCTCTTATACACATCTAGATGTGTATAAGAGACAGATGTAGTTCTGTCTGAGATGTTATCTTTATTATATTTCCAGTAGGAATTATGGTTCCCGTGAAAAAACTATTTATATTTTTATCCAATTACGTATGCATTTATACATTGCAGCTTCATATGCTTTAAGTTTCTCTTAATTTCTCTTATAATCTTAATTCCTTTGCCCTATGAGTTCTATATTTTCATTTAGATAAATAAACAGATCAGATGGAGTCATGTGCAGTTATTTAATCGTATTTCGCGTCGGACACGTGAATCAATCAATGTTATTCACGAGTCAATAATCTATTGCTCTAAAAAATAATCGAATTTAAGCCTAAAGCTCTGAATTTATTTTTTAATTTGTGCAAGATTGTCAGTTCAAACTGTTTGTTGGCATGCTAATGAGCTTGCGTTACGAGGCACGAGTGATTAAAAAAGGACTTTCGGCGATCGTAATATTTAATATTTTTATTCTGAACGAAGCCTTGAACGCGCTATGCAATTTAACACGTACATTGATTTCAGTCCTCATCATCTGCTACTATGAAATAATTTTGGCGTACCAAACATACGAGAGGCACGTACTGTTGGATTTACTTCTGTGAACTTTAATTTGTAATAAATTGCTGTTCTTAGAAGCGTAGTAATGCTGGCAGCTCTGTGATTACCTTCCAGTTGTCGCGATCTCATTTATTTTCAAGGCATGCATTTAATGGAAAATTTATGGTTGAAAGCATCAACTGTGCACGTTACTAAATTTAGATAGTCTAAACTGTCCCCATAGCGTATTAAATCTGAGTGCCATTTAGCCGCTCGTATAAAAATCATGTCTTCAGTTTGATGGCTGCTTCTAAGCGACCAATAAATGCTTTTGCTATATTGTGCTTATTTCTTACCTTTGTATTTAAGCTTACTTGGTAGATGTGTATTCTGATAACTACATATAAGTATATTATTAAGTTCACTTTTTTCCTGTTCATCGCAAGGTGAAAGTTGAGAGTTTGCTCGTGACGCCGTTTTCAATGTTCAATGCATAGCGTTTTTTGTTAATTAGGGAAGTTATATCACTACAACCAAATAGGTTGCCGTTACATCACTAAAAATAATTGTATAATAAAAAATTCATGGTATTGTAATGCATTGAACAATTACATACAAATTCTGGTGTTACATGCATCCTCAGCACGATATGGCGAGGTGGATATATTTACGATTAACGATGAAAATTCTAGAGCAAAGCTTGGGAAAAACGGTGGGTCTCGATCAGCAAAGATGTTATGAAATTTTTCTGTGGTAATGGAATGTTCAGCTGCTTATATCATATTTAGTTTACCGAAATTAAATTTAACTTTTATTCAAGTTTCCGAGCTGCCCGTAACTTTTCAGATGTCAAACAAGCACAAATTCTGCTCATCAGTAGAGAGTAATACCATACAGACGCCGTTCAACACCAGCAGCGGAAAAAAGATACTTGATACACACTTAGACAGATGCTCGTCATGATTTGTTTGATACAGGCTGCTCATCTTATGCTTGATCGAAACAATCTGAATCAGCATTCAGACAACACAGTCAGGTAGCGCTTTGATTACTTGCCCCTTGTCATTAAACATCAAACGGAGAACATTAGATTTTCTCCCTTCTTCACCACCCAACTCGATGCTATCATAGCTTTCTCACTTCTGGTTTACGCTCTTTAATAGCTCAATGAAAACAACAGTTGAGCCTGAGACCATAATTAACATATTGTCCAACATATTTGATAAGGAAAATGCCTCCATGCCGGGCTCTGAGTTCTCTCTTGTTGAGGACCCCCAGCATTCTCGGCTAATAGCTAGTGTGCATGGCCCGTCAAAGTTAGCAGTCGCGGTGTCATTACAACACATTTCTTCATCCTCACTGGGGCTGCTGCCACTATAAGGTTCTAAAGGTGGCTCTCAAAGTAACATTGTGTGCTGCACGGTGATGCGTATCGTTTGACATACCAAAGGAGAAGCACTGAACACCAGACAATTTCTTTAGTTATGCCATGGCATAGTCTGCTCACTAAGACTTCTTCTTCTACACATACATCTGTGTGCTGCTGTCATCGGGCAATATACACTGTAAAAAAAACGGTGAAAAAACGGTCCCACTGGCGTTCTAGTGGCCGGTAGCCCCGTGAAAATAAACTGTTTCGCCGTTTTTATCAGATGTTTTACGGATTTCTAGTGTTAATGAATAAAAACGGCGACACGGTGTTTCTTTTCACGTGCCGACCGGTCACTGAAACGCCGGTAATACCGTTAACGGAAATTTTTCTTATAGTGTACTTGCTTTTAAAATGTAACGCTGTCGTGAATGGCAGATATTCATGACCGCTCGAAAGAAGGAAAGGAAGAAGTTGACAGCGGACATTTGGTCTCCGAAAAAGTGTAATTCAGCAGAGGTGTTTCAAGCAATGATTGGACTCAACCGAGAACTATAACGCTCGGATAGCAACATCATTGTGTGCACCGATAACATTGACGCTCTCATTGATAAGTAAACTCTCTAGTAAATAAAATTCGGTGGAAATAGGTTGTCATCAAGACTGTATGAGGTCGTAGATAAAGAACACCTTTCATAAGAGACAAGGAGTAAGGTGGTGCTCTGATCAAAAGATCATACGGCATTTGTTTTTCCTCCAAGAAGAGTTCATACGTGATTTTCATGATGTTGATGAAAATGAGAATGTAGAAATTATGTCTGCCTTTTTTTGATTCTTTTGAATCTACTCTGGTTGATCTTCCTGATAAGAGAAATTCTAGAAAGTTATTCAAAGCCTATGCGTGAATAGAACTACATTTCTCTTCATTATATTTCAATTTTATGCACTTTGTTTTGTTCAGGGAGTGGCAGAGTGCTTTCCGTGTGCTCCGAGATGGAGGTTCTCCTATGATCTGGCTGAAGCCACAAGTCCTAAAAGAGGGAATAACCGACACACTTCTTGTATTTAATATCATACCGGAGAGACGGATGCTTATTTTATTTGAATAAATTCGCTGGCACAGAGATTACAAATTAATCATTACAAAATTACTGATACAGAACATGGACATTAAACTAGATTGCTAGGTGATCGAATCATCAATACGAGTTTCACTATATCTTTCATATATTACCAGGACATGCTGACTTTTATCATTTCCCCTTTACTGCGGCACGACCATCGTACGTGACCGGGACTACAGAGATAAACTCACTGGCGTGAATTTAGGTGTCTTGCATATATAGCCATTGCGTTTGCTTTAAGCGTGCCCATAAGACGCAACATTGTTACATGTTCCTTGCTGTTCTCTCGGCCGATGTACAAAACTTGTTCCCACCAAATGATATCGAATTTTAGTGGTCATGCAAACAGCCTGGCTTTAACTGTTCATCGTTGCTCAACCAGCGTTAACTTCTAAGTTCGCAGGACTCCTAAATGTGGTCTTTTGACGTGTTTCTGCTCGTCGGAAGTCCTATAGGATTTCTCGTCCATAGGGGCATTGTTCCCATGAGCTTACGCTGCCTTACCGCCGGTTCCAGTTGTGGGATTAAGCTATCACGTAGGCAAGATTCCTTATTATAATATATCTTCTCTGTCTCTCACATGCGTACAGCCGACGTCCCGTGTAAGCGACCTCTCGAGTGTCTTAGTTTCTGTCACTTTTCACCTGTCCCTCCTTGTCACTTCGTCTCTTTGAGATGCTAACGCTGCTTCTTTTGAGCCAGCTTCAGCGGGCTGGACAATTGAGACCTTCCGCCCCTTGTGGGTGACGAATGATTTCAGAAATATCAATAATTGAGACCTTCCGTCTTCGATGCTTTCTTTCAAGGTCCGGTAGGAAATAGCTTAATAGCTGAAGCGCAAGCATTCCATTCTAAGGCTACTCCTATACTATCTTCGTACAAGCTATATGTATTGTATTATAATATTAGGTGAAATAACAATTACCTACGCTTTATTCATGCAGCCAAAGCGTTCCAACGAGATTCAGGAACGAAATATTTCAGCAGCTCTAATTTATGGTCAATTTTTTAGGAATTCGATCTGAAGTTCTCATTCCTTGCTC